GATGTTTTCTTGATGTGCACTTAACCTTTATATAAAACTTCTCTTATACATGAGTTTCTGTGCATTTGTTTCTCTAAAGTACCCAGACTAACACAACTTGGCAAGGCATTCGGTAGTTTTGCTACATTGGGAGCCCTCCATCCCCAACTCCCGTGCATATCCCAGGTGAGACTCCTAACACACTCCCAGTTTGTCTACCCCGCCTCCTCATCCTGGCTCCCCGGAGGCCACAGCCTGCTATCTGTACCCGTGAGCACCCAAGTTAGCTGGGTATGGAAGGGCTTTTGTGAACAACCGCAGCTAGCAGCATGCTTCGGCAACCCCAAGCTCAGAAGAGTCCAAGAAGATCTGCTTTGCTTCTGTGGAGTCAGGAGCCAGGACCCTACACTGCAACACCAACAGGACTGCTAGCCTTTGGGACCGGGGACAGGGTGGGGCAGGGCAGATCAAAGCACCATCAGGCGCTTCTACTAATTTTGAGTTGCTTTTTCCCCCCAAAATGTTTTGTCCCTGACGTGTCTTCATTTCCTCGTGCTGTCTACAGGGCACCTGTCCTCACCACCTGTGGTAGACACCGGGAGCGGCAAGGTCCTGGGGAAGTACGTCAGCGTGGCTGGATTTGCCCAGCCTGTGGCTGTTTTCCTGGGAGTCCCGTTCGCCAAGCCCCCTCTTGGATCTCTGAGATTTGCTCCACCGGAGCCTGCAGAGCCCTGGGAGTTTGTGAAGGATGCCACCTCCTACCCTCCCATGTAAGCCACCGGGGTGTGGCATTGACATCTTTCCGTGGAGGTGCCGCCTCATGGTGACGCAGCACAGAGTCAAGGCGTCAGCTTGTCTGGAATTTCATAGTGGGCAGCACAGCCGTTTCCTATGCTCCTGGAGCTCGCACTCCAGAAGGAGGAGACAGTTTTAAAAACAACGTGCATATTAATAAACAAATGATGCAGTGTGTTTAAAAATGCAAACCCAAACCCAGTGCTGTCAAGGTGACTGCGACACCTGGCAGCCCCGCTTGGTTCCCGAGCAGAACTCTCCACAGAATTTCCTTGGTTGCCTTTCGTCTGTGCCGCCACTGAGTGGGTTTGAGCTGCCAGCCAGTGGTTACCAGCCAGATGTTGACTACTGGT